CGTAACTGTGTATGGTTAAACTGTGATATAGATCTCACCAAGAGCTCGGAAGAGAGGCGAGGGTCTCTATCCGGAATTATTGATTCTTTGGATCTGAATTTATCCGGTTTGTTACTTATATCGGAGTTGCTAACCTCTCGTGATAATGGAATTAGGGTATGGTCAATGAAGCTCCCTGATAATACCGATTCTTGATCAACATGTCGGTTATTATTGGGATCTCCAAAAAGTGATCGAGGACGGGATTTCCGCTTAAGTTTATGGCCATGAATAACTGTTGGTGGTTTAGAGATACTTTCAAACTCGTGCGCACTGGAATCTGATTGAAATAAATTCATTTTCCAGGCCAGGTAAGTGTAGCTCCTAAATGTAATCGGAATACTGTTTAAGGGTGCGGTCAAAGTCTCATTGCAAATGCTTCGAAGCGTTTCGAGTGCGGTCAATCGAGCACTCCAAAGCATTCTAACAGAAGGTATGACGTCATAAACACTTCATACATTTTCGCTTCTACTCGCTTCCACTGCTGCTGCCGAAGAGGTAGTGTAACTGAAGCATTAACTTTCAAGTGTTTAAGCGCACGAAAACATCAATGCGATATACGTGTGGCATAATAAATACAAAGATGCCTCAAATAAGTCTTTTTGACCCTCAACATGAAATTACATACATTCTGAACGTCTCTGAAGAAGATGCAAAGAGAGCTAAGGAAGGTAAGTTATATAAAAAGTAGATATTTAATAAGTAAATTTTCTAACCTATTATTTCTAACCTAGCTTTATACATACAAAAATATGCCAAAAAGTTCCTCTCAAAACTGAAAGTACGCAAGTATTTACAATCAATTGCACACAAGAGATTTTATTTAATTAAATTAATTTAATTTCTTGTGCAATTAATTTTTAATTCTTGCGTACTTTCAGTTTTGAGTGGGACTTTGGCATATTTCCATATGCGTAGAACATTACTCTATGCTATACACAAAAGATTTTGTATAATAAAATTAATTTAATTATATATATAATCCCTTGTGCATAGAGCAAAAGTCTGTAAATAAAAATTTAGAGCATGATATAAATATACAATAAAACCTCTTTTACATGTATATGATAACAACTTTAAATTAAAAAACTAATTAAATACTTTTTTTTCCAAACAGATTTACAATTTGCAACGCACCTTTTGAATAAGCATATGCAGAATTCTCATTGTCAATCTGATTTAAATCCTGCAGGTAGTAATGCTCAAAATACTTCAACTACTAGTAAGTAATTACTATTAATATAATGTTAAGTTAACATTCAATTCTCATAAACTAACATATAAGTATTTAATATTTACATGCATAAATTTTATGTTTCAGCTTCTGTAGCTGAAAACGTGGATGTATTAAATATAATACAAAGAGAAGATAACGATTCTCAAAAGAAAGGTATGATATTTGATATGTATATTTTTGCTTTGTATATTTTTGAAATACATATATTAAAAAATACTTTAAAAATAATAAAATTGATTATAAAGTTAATGCTGAATATATTGTTCTACTTACAGATAATTTTCGTTGGCCACACGAAGCAATACTTTTATTGCTACAAATATATTCGGAAAATGAACATCAATTGACAAGTGGCAAAACAACGCATAAAAAGTTTTGGGATCTAGTTGCTTCAAAACTAATTGAGCATAGTTATGATGTGACTGGCATACAATGCAAAAGTAAAATGGCTGGATTAAAAAATACATATAAAAACGTAAAAGATCATAATAATAAAAGTGGCAATAATAGGCGAACATGGCAATATTTTGACGTAAGTAAAATGAATGTATATGAAAGTATTTCATTTTTTATTGATATTTTGGAACGTTCTACAATACGTGGCAAACATTATTTTACGACTGGCGACAAGATATTTGTGATGCATTGAATTTATGTTCTTTATTGTATTTATCATAATTGTTATATTTATTATGTAATTAATCTTCTTTGTAATTCCAGATTATGGACGAAATGTTTATCAAAAAACCGTGGGTGCAGCCAGTTCTTACATTAGACAGTGAGAATTCAACTACAACATCTGATGAGGACATTCAAAATTTGCAAACAAATACTGCAAAGAGATCACTTTCAGATGAAAATAAATTACCTTCTAAACGTAAGTAAAAGTTAAAAATATATTCAAGAAAGTTAGTAGCTAATAAGAGCCGGTTCTGCCCCGGGAGCTCCGAGGGGGGGGTGAGGGGCAGGG